ACCTATGTGTCATCTTTTAATTTGTTTAAATTTGACAGATTTGTTGCTGCTAAATCTGTCGACAGATATATATAGTCACCCTATTTATAATATCAAATAAGTATTATTAGATGTCATGACATATATTTTCATAGCATATATATTTGGTCCTATAAACATTAATCTTATATTTTTTTATATTTGATTAAACTTTAGACACGTTAAACTAAAAAATACATGTAGAAGTGTAATATTTCTTATTTATATATTTAGTTAAACTTTAGACACGTTAAACTTCTTTCTTGGACATGTGCTCCTAGATGACAACGATCTTGCATACGGTTCACATCATGCGGTTGTCGCCATTCATGTCAGCATCGTAAGTACTAGAACTTTTTTTATAGTATAGATGTAGTATGACTCGTAATAGAAAGTACTCCGGGAAAAAAAAGTACCAGGTGACACTTTCAAATAAAGGTGACTGCATCTGCATTCTTCCCCAAACCACCCAGCTATGACTTCCAAGCAATAGTACATATTTAGACAATGCATTTGTATGGTTACTTCTCTATCACCTCCCATTGGCACGATGTCCAAACCAGCCAAAGGAAAAAGATTACCATAAAAAAGAGACAAAAAGGCTCCATTCAAGTGGGTGGCCTACTAGAGCAAATACTAGTAAGATTAACAAAATAAACTTCCTATCTAGAACGAAGTATATCCATCAAAAGGGTTTGAATCGTGAGGACCCCAGAATAAACTGCTGGAAGAAGCCTGTTATTTGTATTGCTGAGAGAATGATAGATATCCACTGATCCTGCTGTTTTCAAATCTTCATATGAAATGTGGATGTACCAAGGCAGTTCATCGCACAGGCTTCTTTGGGCTGGGACTGGGAGTCGCCGGCAGCAGGGTTGTGAATTTGAAGTTTCCAGAGAACATAGAATCTTTGTCTGTAGTTAGAATATATACCAGACAAGAAGTATCTAGTGAGTTCAACTTATTCAAGAAGAAAATGTTTTAAGAGTTGCAGAAATCTAACCAGTCAATGATAGACAAGTTGCCTCCCTTCGTGTGTATCTTGCCAATGCCTGAAAATTAACAGAACAAGTAGCTTTTAGGTTGTGAAAGCTGAAAGATGACTCCATGTTTTGATAGGTTAGTTGTCTCTATCATGAAAAGGAGTTTACCTGGACAGCAGGGGCAGCAGCCGCATCCATAGCCTCTGAACCTTCCTCAGCATAAATATTTCTAGCATTCAATACATGTACCCATCACACATAATGCCAGAAGACTTCTATTGTGAAAGAAAGACAGCAACACATCTATCACATTCTCGATCCGTTTCAAATTATAGTGTAGTGTAGCTTTGTCCCAGGTCAAATTATAGTGTACATTCAGATAAGTTTCATTAAATTCTCCGTAAAATTTGTCATGATGGTGCATTGATTTGAACTAATAGATAGATGTTAATATATTGTTCTCAAAACTTGGTCAAAGTTAGAGAAGTTTGACACAAAGGACAAAGCTAAGTGAACTATAATTTGGAAGGAGCGATAACTACCATGGTGGGTCTAACAGCATAACAGCAAAGAAATTGATTTTCTACTTTTTAAAAGAAAGTCACTACATTCACAAATTCAATCAAATTCATTAAGAATGCAAAGCAAAGAAATTTCACATTTGACTAATCTCCTTGTATAAGTTGCTTAGCATAGAATCTGTAAAACTGCTGGAATGATCAACAGAAGCACCAAAACAGTTTGCTATTTCATTCACTTAGTAGGGACAATATATGGAGCGAACTCCATGAAGCAGGGCAGTTTGGAAGTACTTGTCCACACAGCCTGATACTTACAGCATCAGTGTCACCAACAGAGTCAATGATATATGCATGTGTGGAACAAAACTGAAGGAAATCAGCTCGAATGGCAAGGTATGTCCAGGCAAAACATTCCTTCTGTATTGAACCTAGCCCTTGAAGTAAATTTTTACTTGGGTTGTTAGGTAGAAGCTTGGCATAGTTACCTCCAGATGACATTTACAAGATCATCTTGACGAGCCTCTGGGCTTATCGCAGCATCATACTTCACAATGTTTCCATAGAATATTTTCTCTAGCTCCTTCATCCATTTTATCAAGAGCAAGTTAACCTAGAATGCATTAGCATGTTATATAAACCAGTTTTCGCTAGAGGTAGAACACATAAAAAGTAAGAATCCTCTGATCATTCAAGAGGAACTGAAGATATGATTGAATACCACTCCCTCCATTTTTAAATATACGATGTTTAGGATTACTTATTTTTGAACTAATTTGCTCGTTCTAAATGTCATATCACCCTTGATCAGAAGGGAACAGGCAGTGCTAAAACATACGAGAAGTTCTGCACTTCAGCTCTTGGTTTTGCACATGAAAATCATTTACATGATGCAGGACTAATGTTAACAAGTTGCTCATTTGAGGAATGAGCGTAACCTGTAGGTGATTACTGTCCTGGTCTCCCAATGCGATAGTATCCCAATGCAAAATCGAGGGCAGCATACATTGAAATCAGAAAAAGAACTGCAGGACTACTTCACAGTACAACATCCAAAATATGGTGTCCAACTGCCCCCCCCTTCCCGTTGACACAAACCAATATTCAAGAAAGCATCAAACACCTAACAGGAAGCTTCAAAATTGCAATAACAAGTTATGTCAGAGGTGTAGGATGGTAAAGCATATTACCAATCAACAGATAGTTCTTAAAGGCAAATAATGAGGATTACCTCCACGAATCAAGATGATAGCAATGCATATAGTAACCATATAATACAAATTTATATAAAACAGCCAAACAGCTTACCCCAGCTTTTGAAACTCTGAGCTCTACATCGTGGTTGTACATTTCGTAGATGTACTGTCCGAACTTAACACCATCCCTCCCTTCTTCCTTCAAGCGGCGTAGAACAAGCCACATATGGAGAACAAGCAATGAAAATGTTGTCTTAAATGTTTTCTCCAACTGAAAAACTGCAAAGGTACATGTAACTATGTAAGATATTTCTGTCTCAATATATCATGATCATAAAAAGATAAAAGATAAAAGTTCAAATAAATCATTTAACAAAAACTCAATCATCCTACCATGATACTGATTTCTGCCTGAACAAAAATCACTCAATCCTTTGGTTTTGCACAACAAGCTACGAATTAATTCTTCACTACACCTAACAGCAACCTGTAGCACATACAGTGCAGTAGGGATAAACATTCCCTATGAGAAAATAAAACGTGTACCAGTAGCAATTACATATCTTTGGCAGGTGCCCTCCACTGAAGCTACTAGTTTTTCAGGGGGGCAGCCAGTAAACTTATGCCATACAAGCTCAGAATGAGCAATATGCATCAGCATATCAGGAATTTATCATCAAGCTCTTGTTGCTAAAACTAATGTATATCAACTATTTAGATATTGATGGCCACCACCAACATATTCTTCTTAACAAACTGTTAACCAACTATGCAACTTATAAAAAAAATGACTGCATATAAGCATTAGAACAGAGCAAAATGAAAGACTGGCAAACAAACATCAAATGAAAAAAAAACCAAACAGATCCTGTAATAAGCAGGAAGTTTACCATCATAAATAGCAGGTGCATCAACTTGAGAAGTGATTTGATCATAAACAACATTTGCTCCTCTGATGGACTTGCTTTGCTTACTGTAGAACAACAACAGCGTGAGCAGGAATCGCTTGATGCCTTCATATTGTGGATCCACTGCTCTATGAGGGGAGTCAGGTGGCAATGCTAATGAACAGGGCTTCGATAAGAACATAGAATTCAGTCTGATCTGTGAAATAGAAAAGCAATCTGTTAAGCTGCAAGTATAGGAGTTAAAAATAAATCATGGCTAAATGGTAATCAAAGCATCAGATCCTTGTCAAAATGTGAGATACTCAGATCCACAGAAAGTGAAGCATTGAGCAGCATTGACAAATGACAAATGCAATGATGTACAAAGGAGAAATAACTTGTTTGACTCCATATCCTCTTATTGCATCTCCAAGCAAATACGCATCTTGTAAGCCATAAGCTTAAAAAATGTGTCACCTGTCTACACCTATTTCATTATGTCATACAATAATCTAATGGTGGCAAGGTGGAAATGTGGAATACGGTCGCAAAAATATATAAACAACCAGAGCCACAACAATGCAGAACCAAAGTATTTGCCATTTTGTGCAATTACTAATTTGACCCGGTAAATAGATCACAAGCAACAACAAGGAGGCCTGAAGGATGTAAAATTTGAAAGCCACACAGTCCTCTGGATAAACAGAACACAGCTAATTTGAGCTACTAATACTAACCAAGTTCCACAAAAACAAGCACAAGTCGCATATTAACACTGGAGGAATTTGCACAATCTGAGGCAGAGCAGACTACTCCTACATGCATGAAAAACCCAACCTTTCCCACATGAGCAGCCCTACAGGTGATCCGGTTGCTACTAACGTGGATACGCAACAACTGCGGCCTAAAATGCGCGATCTCAAATGACTTCCATCGCCAAATCCCAGTAGCTACTCAGAACAACCACTCAACCAGCTCACCCTAACCATCGAGATCACACGGTGCAAACAGAGAACCCAAGTGGCGTGCGCGAGTTGGAAGAGCGGCGGTACCTCGGGCCTCGGTCCGGCGGACGGGGAGGAGGCGCCAGGGCCGGGCGACGTGGCCGTGGCGGCGGCGGACATGGCGAAGGTTCTCGAGAGGGTTTGGAGAGGAAGCGGAAGCGGCGAGGGAGCCTTCGCCAAGGCCCTGGAGAGGACGCGGGCCTCCGCCGCAGAGTTGCGGGAGGCGACGGCGGCGGCGGCGGTGATGCTGGACGCGGCGGCGCGCCACCGTGACATGGTCTCCTCCCGCTCGCGCTTCGCGTCTCGGCGGCTGCGGGAGGAACGGAGGAGATGGTTATGGCTCCCCGCCCTGGACCTGGAGAGCGTGATCACGAGGCGCGGGGTCCACCAGCAGATGCGACGCGGCGCGCTTGGCTCACTGACGCGTAGGCCCTCCCGGCATCTCGTCCGCAGCCTCAGCCTGCGGCTGGGCGCGGTCCACCTCGGCCCGTGCGCCGAGCGCCCGCAGTCGGAACGGAACGGAACGGACTGGATGCCGTCCAGTTCGCTCTTCGCAATGGAAGCCGACCCAAAACCCAAAATCCAAACCCGCCGATCAGCTTATCCCCTTCGCAGGAACTGCGTGCACAGGCGAGAGGAGACACTGAAGCGAGGCGCGCCATTTGGGGGAGGAGAGGAAATGGAGCTGACGCCCTCCTCCCGCTCCGTACTCTCCTCCTGCAATCGTGAGGCCTCCTCCTCCTCCTTGCTGGCGAGATTGCTGCCTAGACGCGCAGGGTCGTGTTCGTTCCTCAGTTTTCTCGCACCGCCCCAATTTTGATTGTGGGGTCCTGCTTGTGCTTGCGACTATTGCAGGGCTGGCCGCTCGAGCTCCGTGCATGACGGCATCCGCTGGTGCAAGGAGGAAGGAGAAGGGAGTAGTATGGTAAGCCCTTGTTCAGCCATTGGAAATGCTTGCTAACGCCATTTGTGTCGCTGTTGCGCAGTTATTTCGTTGATAGTACTTGATAGTCTTCTTGTTTGGTGAAGTGTTGTTCTTGGCACACGCCATCGTAGAGTGCTCATTTTTGACATTTTCAGAGACTTGCACTGCACACTCCTGTCTTTTTTTATATCAATAATTACAGTGCTGTTAGTGCATACAATGGTATCCTGAATAGAGACTCCTGCTGTGCAAAAACTGCAGTATCTTGAGCGGCAGCGAGGAGGAAGACGTGGTAAGGAGAAGGATCCGGAGGCGAGCAGCCTTTTCTTTGCTGCTGGCTTCGCCGGCGCTGTCAGTGGCGTTCTCTGCCTATGGGAAGAGTAAAACCATGAACCCTTACGACGAAAGGCGGCTGCTTCAGCAGAATAAGAAGATTCAGGAAGCCAACCGTGCCCCTGAGGATTTCCCGAACTTCATCAGAGAAGGTGAATAATCGTATCACTGATCTTGTCTTACACGTTATGGGCCATAGAATATGTCATATTCTTCATAATCTGTTGTTACCATCTCAGTTTCTATCAGATGCCATTTACAACTCACTTTTCTTGATTGAATGTGATTATATATTTTCTAGATAGATTGGGTGTAATTCTAGGGAAAACTAAAAGTATGCAAACAAATAATTATCATATTGTCTATTACCAAAACAAAGTTTGCAATCATGTGGTGTAGAAGTTATTTCTCATACATGTGACGTCTTGGATGTTGCTTATATCAATTTATGAGTCACAAGGGAATTTGGGAATACCGGATTGCCCAAGATTATATGGTTTTGTAATTTACGGTGTCACTGTCACCTTTGATATTCCCTAGTTTTATCTTTCAGTTTATGAACAATGTGAAAAATGACACGGACATAGTGTCTGTACCACTGTAAATTGACAAGAGTGCTATATTGCTGTCTGAATATTGAAAGAAAAAATAAAAGTACAACTATTTTTGTCGAGGGCAACACTGCAACATAGTTTTTGTTAGCAAGTGCATTGTTCTTTGAAAAAAATTAAAGAATTGTAAGTACAGATCAAATTTTCTGTAGCAGCACAGGACATTTGATTCTGGAAAACTTTATGAGTGTATTATTTTCTCTCTTAAGTACCACATAATGTTTGCTTGAAGGAATGGTAGTTCAATACAATGCCTTTAGTGACTTAGTTGATACATTTATTTGTCTGAGAGTAACCTTCATCAATGAGCTCTCCTGGGAACAATTCCTTCTAGCTTCAAACTTACTAGAACTGTAAAGTTTAACCATGCGGCATTTAATACATTTCAGGTTTCCAGGTCAAAGTAGTGACAACGGACAACTACATTACACGGGACTCTGGACTAATGTATGAGGACATTAAAGTTGGTACAGGTGACTCTCCAAAGGATGGTCAGCAGGTTCTTCCTCCAAAGCAACGGTTTTATTTTCTTCTGCTCATTTACTATTTATTCATGTGTACCTGATCAATACAATCTTGGTGGTATTGGATATGAATAAAATCATTTATTTGTCTATTATCTAATATGGTTTGTTTGAAGATGTGTGTCAAAAAGATCGATTTGGTCCACTTTCACCGTCATTAGTTACTACTTGTTATGTTTGGCCTAGTTGGCTATTTATCTAGTGTGTTGCTTAAGGATGGTCTAAGTATCCTGTTTGGTGTTTGCTTTTTTTTTCGAAAACCTAGCAGGAGCTCTGCCTCTCAATTAAGGAAGGAAAGAAGTTATATGTACAGGAAAGCCCAGAAGTCCGGCTAGCCCCACCGGGCGCACACAGAAAAATAGGAAACACCCAGCTCCTACCCCTCTTGTGGGGTTACACAGTGGAGGCTAAGTCGAGTTGTTAAGCACCCTAAAGCGTGTCCTCCTTGGCTTTCAAGGCCACTTGTCGAGCATCCATGGCCACATCTTGGAAAATCCTTCTGTTTCTTTCCTTCCAAATGTTCCACATCGTGTATATCACCACCCCGTTGAAGTGTCATCGTCGTTCCCTTGGGACTTTGTTTGCCGCTTGTTCCCACCATGTTCTTATCTCTGTTGGTTGGGTCTGATGCCGGATTAAATCCGTGTCAAAGTGCTCCCATGCCAACACAATACACCAAACCTCTTTAGCTACAGGGCATAGCGGGCACAGGTGAAGGCCGGTTTCCAATGGCCCATTGCACATTTTCTCGAACACGTAGGAGAATGGCCCATTGCACATGACACAGTGATCCTGATGAGGCCAATTCCTTAGTTGCAAATTATCCACCGTGAGGATTTTGTTCTGGATAAGGATCCATGTAAAGAACTCGGTTTTAGAACTAAGAAATCGGTCTACATTGCTGCAAAATATGTTTCTGATATGTTTCAGTTCTTTCCGGTTATGTTTGTAGCATGCTTACTTTTTGCATGATACTGACTTTCTTCAGTTCATCTACAGATTATATTCCATTATGTGGGCTACAATGAAGCAGGACGAAGAATAGATAGCACCTATATTCAGGGTTCCCCTGCAAAAATTCGGTTAGGGAATGGAACTCTAGTTCCAGGAAAGTATTCACTGTCTCAATATTTTTTTTCCTGGGCCCCTGATGCAACTACCAGTATTCTTAGTGCTTGCTGGAGCTGGAGCTGCTTTTGTAAATCCAACTTGAAAATTGAAATGTTCCTCTGATGAATTTGGTGGGATGTGAAGTTGTAATAGATCACATCTCATTTTAGACATTGATACTTCAGGTTTTGAAGAAGGCATACGGGACATGAAACCAGGTGGTAAGAGAAGAATTATAATACCTCCAGAGCTTGGTCCTCCTGTAAGTTACTGTCTTCTTTTGCGTAGTAGACTTGAACTTATGTACTCCTTCTGATCCCAACTATAAGTCCGTTAAAACATCAACGCGGTCTCCAATATCACACTTTGACTAACAATATCTCCAAAATATATATTTCAAATAAAAAGAGGTACATATCATGAAAGCATGCTTCATGATGCATCTAGTAACTTCCACACGATGTTGTCAATTTATGTGATTTTTTAGTAATTGATGGTCAAGTCTAAGTAGGTTTGACTTAGGACAAAGCTAAATTGACTTATATTTATGGGATCAGAGGTAGTACTTCCTTAGTACAAGTGTAGCTACTTTTTCCGTTCCTCCATGTACTTTATATTGCGATAAAAGTAAGTAGCTAAACTTTTTGTCATCTAGGTCTCGAACTATTAAAATGCCTCCATGTACTTTATATCACATGAGGTCTATATCACCCTAATTAACAATTAACTATGTATGTAGCAATCTTGCATGGCAATATAAAAGTAAGATGCACCAGCAGTCCTTAAACTTGTCGAGTGATGTCATCTAGGTCTTTTCTAGAAAACATGATCTCTGAACTATTAAAAATGCACAATAATAGGCCCATAAACTAAGTATATCACATGAGGTCTATATCACCCTAATTAACAATTAACTATGTCATGTGGCAATTAACCATTGCATGGTTTCAGTACGATACTTTTGATGTCCTGTGCTCTACCCTACATGCTCATGACTTCTCGTGGTCGCCGCCGCTCACTGCTATCATGTATAGTGCATACTAAGTGGTGAGTGCCCCATTTGGCTCATCAACTTCTCACGGGGGTGGCGTGACCCATGGCCCGAAGAAGAGGAGATCGAGAACATGGAAGGGATTAACTCCTCCACACTGTAGTCGGCGGGCGGCCGGCGCCGTAGTAAGGACGGAGGGCTTCGTCGCTGTGGCGGGCGAGGCTTCAGGCTTCGGCGCCAGGCGCCGGGTCGGAGGAGCTAAAAAGCGAGCCGCTTCTCCCTTTGGGCTCCGTATCGCGCTCTGTGAGAGAGAAATTTGCGAAAAGAATAAAAATCGGATCTTGATGATCGTATCACACGATCCGTCCGACACGTGTCGGATCTGCGATCGTGAACAGTGTAACACGATTGCATGGAGTACAGAGATGTCCTGTGCTCTACTACATGCTCCGACCATCATCACGCTATCATGTATAGTGCATACTAAGGGGCCTAAGTGCTGTGTTTGTGTGCGACTAAGCTTTTACTCGATCAAGAGAGAGAAAACCGGCTCGATTTGTATCTCAAGTGGCACAGCTTCAAAGGGGGCCTAGTTGGGGACCTTTTAGATGACACCACAAAACAAATTTATGGAGTGCTTGTGTATTTTGCTCTTGCAATAATAATCTATCCTTTTCCTGACATAATATCCATTTAACAATATATAAAAATTCATGTGTGATAAGATCTGAGGCCTTAACTTCTTATGTAGAGACCAGAAACAAGAGGGATTTTGTTCATGAATAAATACATGAGTTTCCTGCATGTATGGATCGTTTTGGCATTTTTCTAGTCTTACTGTTTTTTTTTTCCATTTAGAACATTATGGAAAGAACCTTACTGAAATGGTAAGAAAAATGACACTTGTTAAAAGGTTTCTACCGCAAAAGAAAAAGGAAAAGTAGAAACATCAAATAATGTGAAAATTACCCAAACCAGTGTGGCATGTGAGCCTCAACAAACAAGAGGAGATTGTAGACATTAAAGCAAGAATATTGTCCCCACCTAAAACTATTTGAAAATGTGCGGGTGTAGACCTACTGCGTGCTAAATATTATCTCCAGAAGTACAAATAGTACTAGCCTAGTCATTATTAACTATCAGCCTATCATCAATCATCATGGCACACCGTTTCTGACATCTCCATTGCATCTACTCAAGGTTGGGCCTTCGACGTTCTTCAGTGCGAAGCAGTTCGAAGTGTTCGATGTGGAGCTACTGGCAGTGCAGGACTGCCAGCGGAGGACGATAGCATTTTATTCCGATGTTGTGTGCAGCTGAGCTTGGGGTCATCTAGACATCTATTGTCCGCCTAGAGTATATCGCAGCAGTATCCTGCACTTTTGGCTGCTGACAGAATTTTGCTGCTGGTCTGAGTTGCCGTGCAATTGTATTGTGTATATATAGCCGGCTGTTGTTACTGCGACAATAAAGGTTACTGATGATTGGCAATGGTAGTGTATTATCAGTTCTTCATTTTTGTCTTGAATCTCCTGATGGCGGGATATGTGCATTTGGTGTGTCTTTTTTGGAAGTTGGCAGCTTGGCATGTGTACCTTGATGTTGTGGTTACTCCTACCTCTTGATGTTGAGGTTACTCCTGCCTCTACCAAGGTCCACACCATCTCTGCTTCTTTATTCAGTACTAATTCTAGGGAGTTTGGTGCTGATTTTTGTAAACGTATATTCAGTCTGTTCGATTGGTTGTATTTGGCTTATAAGCCATGGCTTATCAGTCAACGAACAGTATTTTTCTCTCACATCAAACCAGCCAATAATACTTTCAGCCATGGCTTATAAGCCAAACCAGCCTAAACGAGCAGAGCGCTTGAAATTACCTAGTGATGGTATGAAAATTGTTGAATTGAGTTGCTTGGATTATGGAGGAAAATATACCGAAAATTTCCGAATAGTTTTTGAGTGTCTGACCTTTGGCGTACGACCTCATAGTTGAATTCCTTGAACATTCCTATGCAAGTTCCAGGATCCAATTTCACTGGACACTGGACGGCGTACTCCAGGGACGAGAGCTCCTGTGCGCCACTCAAGTAGGCATTGTATTATCACTGAGATAATAGTAATCTATCTATTCGAAGAAGCATCAGATCCAGCGCAGTTCTTTACAAAAGGCAGCACGCAAGTCAGCACGAGCCGCTTTCCAAAGGGACGGACCATGGTCCATGGGCGATTGGGCGTGAAAAGTGAACAAGAAGGCCCTTGTCTCGTAGCGACCTGCCGTCAGCCGAGGCGCCGAGCACACGACGCAGCTGTCTGGGTCCGGGGTTCAGGCCCACGTGCCAGATAGAGGGACAGAAGCGTCGCATCAGCAATACGGTTTCACCGAATATCCTGCACCTCCACGTTAGTATTTCATTCATCTGTGACGTTAATTACACAGCTTTTAAGCACATATTAATTGAATAACAATGACAAAATTTTCGATAACTAAAGATCCTGCACCACGTTATCATTCGTGAAAGTAATACAGCATGTTTAACTAAATTTATCTAAAAATTCACGTTTAACTAAGTTTCTAAAAATAGTATTCACATTTATAACTCTAAATTAATTTATTATAAAAATATATTTTATAATTAATCTAATAATATTTATTTAATATTATATTATAAAGGATTTTATACCCACCAATCTCCCAACTGATCAGACAAGTGGACCTATCCCGTGTTTAGTTGGTTGAAAGTTGAAAATTTGGCTACTGTAGCACTTTCGTTTTTATTTGGCAATTAGTGTTCAATCATGGACTAATTAGGCTCAAAACGTTCGTCTCGCAATTTCCAACCAAACTATGCAATTAGTTTTTTTTCTACATTTAATGCTCCATGCACGTATCGTAAGATTCGATGTAATGACTATTATAGCACTTTTTGAAAAACTTTTCGCGAACTAAACAAGGGCCTAAACGAAAACTCATCGAAAACTCTTTACATTGACAACATGTTTCTCTCTCGCCGACGTCTTGTGTTGGATTTTTTTCTCACCGTACTCCACGCCTACCCGCCTGCGTACCCACGCATACCCGCCCGCTACCCACCCTCCCTTCCTTTCTCGGCGTTGTCGTCCCCGTCGCCTCAAATCAAAGAAAAAAAACCGTCGTCCACTCCCCCTCCTCTTCCGGACGCAAAACCGCCGCCTCCTTCCGCCTACACAAAAGTTGCCCAGACTCGCCCGCTCGCCTGTCGTCCCCTATCTCCCCCTCGCTTCGCGCCCACTTCTCACCTTGTAGTTCCGCTTCCGGCGCCCGTGGAGGAGCACGGCCGAGCCGCCGCGCGCCGTGTACTGCTGCGCTGGGGGCTTCCGGCGTGAGGACGGCGGCAGCGTGTGAGCAGAGATCCATCACCTGGCCTGTCGTGGAGTTAGTCTCGCGGCCACCACCTGAAGCGTCGGTCGCCCGCTAAGCGCCGGAGGGAGCCGGGTCGACCGCCATGGCGGGCGCGCGCACCACGACCTCGGCCGGTCTGTTGCCTTCACTCCGTGGCGTCCTCGGCGGCGGCCGCCGAGAGGCGCCCGCCAGGGCTTACTGCGCGTCCTTAGCTAGGCTGCCGCAGAGCGGCTTTTTACCGAAGCGATGCGTCGGCCGCAGCGCGCCCGCCGACGTGGTGCGCGCAGGCAGACCGACGAGCCCCAGTAGCGTCCACGCACGGTGGCCCCGGATCGGTGGCGCCGTGGACCTACGTAAGGCTTCGACCCTGCATCGGATTTCCTTCCCGGTTCGATCTGATTTTCTCCCCTTTTCCTCGATAGAATCCCCTAGCAAGCAAACTTGATGCGTGGCGTGAAGGGGATGGAGGCGCGCACTTCCTCGGCGACAACGGCGTCGCGAAGTCCACGCGGATCGCGACGCCGAGGTGGATCGCCGATGTCGGTAAGATGGAACACGGGTGAGTGAGCGCACCTTCATTATCTTCTTGTTCCGTGCCTCCGCCTGACAGCCTCCCTTGCTTCCAATGGAATCTTGATTCGTTGCTTCCGGTGCCATAGCGCTCTGTGCTATGTGACTGCTTGTGGTTGATCTGCTCCCTGTGTTCCATTTGATGTGGCTATAACAAGTCGTAGCAGATTTTATGCGGCGAGGAGACGACGGCGTGAGGCAGCGAGGGTTGTTAAACGTCGTATAGTCATATGCTCGATTGTTGCTTCTACTCAAATCTATATTGTAAGGGACCAATTAAAATTATACTACGTCCACCCACAATTTCAATCCCCCACAGTCATGACTTTCCCTTCGTACACTCCAAAATATGTCCCCAGAAATACAACAACATTAAAATCAATGGCTCACGTATCTTCTTATTAGGCTTCAACACGATCTATTGTCAGGATTGTTTGGATCATCCAGAGGCTTCAACGCACCCTATCAACCTGCCTCTCCCCGCCCACATGGCCGCACCACGGAGGCCAACGATCCCGTTTCAAAGCATGGTACCTCCTATTTCCAGAACCAAATCTCCGAAACAACTCAGAAACCAAACACGAGACTCCCATGCCTACGCTGCTCCGTCATCACCCTGTCCTTCCTCCGTTCCTCCCCGATTCAAGGCCTAGCTGCGATACCGCCATGGACCGCCGCCGCCACCACCGCGGCTACCGTTCCTGCTGGCAGGGCCGTGCCACTACCAGGGGTTGTGCGAGATGCAGATGGGGAGAAGAGAAAGAGTTAGAGGGGAGCAGGATCGGAAGGGGTAAGGGCAACACATGCAAGGAAAGAGGCATATAGCCAATAGGAGCGCACCAAAATCTCGATCGTAGGAGGCGGCGGAGGCTGCACTGCGGCGGGCGTCCATGGAGGGAGGCGTCGAGGGGAGCGGTTCGGCGTGGTGCGTCTGCGTGCTGGGTCGTCAGCTGATTCTGAGGATGGGGGGGAGGAACGGTTTGGCTGCCCTTCCCAATCCAGGTGAGTTCCATCTGCGTGTTCCCACTTCCCATCCCAAATGCTATGTACTAGCAATTTTTTCCCTTGCAAAATATATGAGCATTAGCCTTTTGTATACCAATGAACGAATCTTCTCCTTCAATATCAGCGTTCAAGTTCAGGTATGATATTTAGAATCCCCATCCTATTTGTTTACTCTTTTGAGTGGCTTATTGATTTATTGACTTTCGAGA